CACATGTAGTGCACAGTTTTACAATTTTTGCCATTTTTGCCAATTTTACAATTTTCGCTTTCCCCGCAGCAGTAATCGTTTGGACATCCACGACATTCGTTCTGTTCAGTGACAGTTCCTTGTTGATTTGCGCACTTTGAGTTTAAAAGAAAGAATTAACGAAATCACTTAAATTCACGAAATCACGAAATCAATTAAAAGAAAGAAATCATTTAAATTAAGCCCAAACGGATCTGGTATTTTTCAGATTCCGAATAGAGGGGTGGGTTTTGCTCTGTGTGATAGTAACTTCTCAGGAGATTGCTCGACTTAAAACATCAAGTCGATATGCATCAGAACTGCAAGAGGGTCCCAGAACTGTTCATGTATGTAAAAAATGCTTATGTTGAGCATTTTTGTTTTTGTTACAGATTGATATCCAGAAACACAGGCGTTTCCGAGATAATCAGAATATAAAGAAAGGCGGTGGATACGCTGGTGTAGATGGTTTCCATGGCTATCAGGTATATCGTTTTCATGTTATAGTCTTTTGAATATAAATAGAATAGAAGGATTTCCCTTGAATGTTATGTGTTTGAAGACATTTTATGACGCAGTCTGTGTGTTTCATCCCTTAGCTGTATACACAGACCGTACAGTGCATGCGATTAGGAGTGGGAATCATCAGTACAGCCTCTTCTTACCCGCCATGTTTTAAATAGTCATGTGTCTAATTTGCAAGACGGATGACAGGAAGAAATAGATATGAGTGAAGGAGCAAACAAAACTTGTGTACTTTGTGTAAATGCTTCACCCATCAAATCGTTTCCTGTCCTGTCATTGATATGTTACTTCTCTGTACACTGTCTTTTGAAATTATCGCATCCTGGCGCATTAAGCTGTTAGTCTTGGAGCCCTCGTCCTCTGGCCCGGTGTTCCGGCGCCTCCTCGTCTGGGTCGTCGATTCCTTGGTGATGATTCGGGCTAGCAGGGTCCACATCTATCGTCGTTGATCGTCGTGGCCGCCAACACAACACAACATAGCACACTGGTGTCACACAGAAACAGTGGCCTTATATATAGGCAGCTTCACGCCATCATACACGACCTACCTAGAAGGGAGTCATGATGCAACAGATCTTCCCACTACCCTGACAACCTTCCCAGTGTTCCAGCGAACATTGCATGGATATCATTTAGTGGTCTCATTTGTCAGTTTCATTATTTTCCACCTTTTTCCTGTAAAATAAACTATTATAACTGTAATCGAAATTATTATTGATATTATTGTGATTATTATGATTAATACATTATTGTGATTATTATTTGAATGCTTTTGCAGTTGCAAATTGGCGTTCCCAGACTGCTAATCGCTCCATCGATACAGTTCCGAAATCCGTTCGAAGTAAAACGAAGCAAACTGATTGAGCAGATCCCAAAAATGCGAATCAATCTGATGCAACAGTTCAGCACCAGGAAAATACCCGTTTTTGAAGGTGGCCGGCCAGGCATGCGTCTCAAATTGCAACATGCTGGTTTGCTCTCTTTTTTTTTTCATAAATCTCTTCTGATCTCAAGCTAGAATGAGCCTGTTTATTTGGAATTTCTTGAAAAATATGCTAATTCACAATTTGATTATACTACTTTGCAGCAGGCAAATTTAGGGGGCTGTACTGATGATTCCCGCCCCTAATCACGTCGGTTACTGTCTGTGTTTACAGCTTGGGGATGAAACACAGGTAGGCTTTTTATACATATGCATTTCACATGACTTCCACTAAATCCGACCTTGATTTTTTTTAAAAAAATATTCATCGCACCAATCTGGACCTTTTTTCCTTTTTTTTTTTCCTTTTTATCTTTCCTCCTTTAATCCGATCTTTTGCGACCATCTGGTAAATGATT